TGAAACAAATGTGTTTTATCACATCAGACTTTACACCACTCCCTCTGGGATAAATTTTATTGCAGCAGTAGAACTTTCTCAGCATCTTAAAAGACTCAAGTACTGAAAGACAGGTTTATGCGCTCTCTGGTTTTATAAATGTGGCGTGCAATCAGTAGTCAGTGGAGTTCAAAAAAAAATTCTTTAAACGATTTTGCCCTTTTAACTGCCAGAATATAAGTTAAGTCCTGATGAATGTTGAAATAAAATACTTAACATGGCATGAATTTAGAATGGAAAAAATTAGGTGTTTCACAGCTGATTGATTGTTCTGTAAACTTACTTCATCTCTTCCTTCCAACGAGGTCAATAGATGTATTCAAAGCCTGGAGGTCCTAATGGTGTTATTTTTATAGTGATCACAGATAGTTGACTATTACGTAACTTAAACCAGGATGTAATTTCATCTTCTGCAGTTATTTCTAGATTTCTTAGCCTTCTGTCAGTTTCTAAATGATGGAAATTCTTGAGCCCAACCAATTTGCCATCCAGAATGTACAGACTTTGAAATAGATTACTACTTAAGCCATGGCCACCTAAATTACATGGAAGTATAATTAACAGCTAGCTTTAATGCCCTTTGTACTGTCAGGGCAATGAAGAGTTAGCCTTTCTGGAATTAAAGCAGCCAAATTCCACTCTATTTTCCCTGAACAGTTGCAGTACATAGGAGGTAAATTTCTGAAACTGGTAATGAAATTGAGTCCAAGACCTGAGTAATCATTGACTAACCTGAGAGCAGCACAGTGAGTTATCAATATCTGAAGGTATGATTTACTTTTTGCACTAGTACAATGACCTGTGGGTCTGGTCTGGTCGAGCACAGGGAGTACACTGCATGGAAAGCAGCTGTCTCTTGTCCTGACCAACATCTCCTTATGTTTCTGAGAGACGGTATCTCTCACTTGGTTTCTACATCTCACCTGACCTTCACTGTGGGACAGAAACATAATTGTTGGGTGCACACCCAAGGGAGATTCCTGCCTCCAGCACATGTGAGGGATTGGTGTCAGCCCTTCCTGTGCAATTTCATCAGAAGTCTGGAGTTAAAGTATGCTTCAGAAATAGCATATCTTATAACCTCTAGAGTAGATACTGCTTGATTACAGTGTTCTCAGGCACTTGCACCAAATTCTGCTCTCATTTACACATCTGCTCCTCTGATACTAATGGTGTTCCTACAGTACTCTCAGTAGTCTGCCTTTCATCTGCTTATTGCTATTTTATCAGTACTTAGAGCAGGCAAAACCTAACTTGTTTAAGACCCTTCTAAAGTATCTTTATCCCTCTGTCTCCACCCTTTGTGATGAAGTTTTTCTTCCTTAATTACTGCTCTTGAATGTTCCATAGCTTACATTTATGTGCCATGAAGAGACATGTCCACATCTTATAGAGTTTTAATGGGTGTAGCTATTCTTTCTGTAGATCTCCACACCCAGACAGAGCACTTCAAAAAATGCAAAGGTCTCTTTGCTTATGTTCAGTCTATTTCTACAAGCATTTGCAAGATAAAAGATCCTCGGCTATGACTACTCAAGATCTTCAGACAGTCCAGCCATTTCTTCCACACAGATGTACTTTTCATCCTCTTCCTTGGAAACACTCCTTCATCAGGGCTGAAATTCTGGTAAGAGTCAGTTAAACACTTTGCCACTGACTTCAGCAGAGGCCAGATCTCTGCCCACATGTTCCTCCTTCGCTTTAACATCTTCCTGCACTCCTGTGCCCCTAGTACCACTCTGCTCCCTCCCCCATCATACACTTCACTCCTTTATTCTCCCCGATTGACAAATAACTATTTCTGGCAAGCATCAGAAGCAGCAGAGGATGCAGGCTAATATCCTTGCCAGATGAGTCTTCCATACAAGTGGGTTAGTGTCATGACTAGTACAAGCATTCAGGGCAATACTCTGCCCTCATTCATTACAACAATCAGGCTCTCAAAATCCCTCACATAAAAAAGCTGGCAAAAGCATCCTGTTATCTTTCTCTTTTGACTGTGTTAGCTGGTACAGGCCACTCTGCTCATGTACTTTGTGCACTGGATACATTCATGTGAAGATTTCAATTTAGTTCTCCAATTGCTTTTTCTGCTAGGTCTAATCTAATTGCTATCACGATGAATAACTGATTCTTCAAGTGGTAATCGGAAGACCCAGGAAATGCTTTTGAATTTTAAAATCTCCTTAGGACAGATTCTTCCGCTTCCATAATATTTGCCAGGCTTCTAAAACATACAAATAATTGGTCAGTGCTGGAGATAACTTAGATTGTAATACTAATGTGCTACAATTTGTTCACTATGCTCACTATGACATCACTTTAATAGATACAGCTTAGCAAGCATTAGATTTACAACCATGTTTTTTGCCAGATTGGTCTGCAGAGTTAAATACTTCAGCAGTTCTCAGAACTCTCCTGGATTATTCTCTCCCAGATAGATTTCATCTGCCTCTCTTTCCAATTCTAAGAACTTTCCACACACAGCCTTTTTCTCTAGCTATATATCTTTGCCTCCTTTGGCATTTAGATCTTAGACTTTGCTTTCATTTTTCCTGAAAGTTTTGGCTTGATTGCTGCTTGAAAAAAAAAGAGATTAAAACAAAAAAAATCTCAGGAAATTGTCCTAGAAAATCTATTAGTAGACTTGCAGACAACCTAACCTCATCATCAATCCAGGCCCAAGTGATGCAGAAGCAGGAATGATTTTTGAGGACTCTTGATTAACATCTCTCATGAATGCTCCTTCTCAAAAGATAAGGAATAACACAGCTGGCTGTTATTTAGCATGTTCCTTAGCATGTACAATTCTTCAAACTGGTGATCTAAACACTTTGCTGACTCTGTCTCATTCTCTGTTCCTTGCTTTACCAGGGCTAACGATATAAGACAAAGCATAGAGTAGGTAACAGTAAGATTTCTGTTTCCATTCCCAATTTGTTTCTCTTTCCCATGTCAGTATGGCAAGTCTATTTATTTTGATGCAGAGAGCAATTATGGTGATTCTGCGAGCTCGTAGTTGGACCACTTCTTTCTCTCCCTGGGCACCAGCTATAACCATTTCAGGTGATTAAGGAATGTAATAGGAATCATTAAGCACACTACTCTTGGAAGTTAATTTGTATACCTGGCAGAGCTTTGGAATGTTCCAGTTTAGGAGGCACAATCCGTTCTGCACCTCTGGCAGGAGTTAGCAATAAATCTGTAAGGAACACCTCTGGACCTGCTGCACATAAAAATCTCAGACTGTATGACATACACAAAGGCACAATGGTGATTTGATGACCTCAAGTTGAGAACTAATGTGATGAAATCAGGGACGTGCAACTTAAAGGGATGATAACCAATACATAAGCATGAAAGGATGTCTTAAAGAGTGATTAATGTGGCATCCCATTAGCTTTAAGCACTGCAGAACATCTGGCATATTTCCCCCTTGACTGCAAATTTCTGAGCTCTAGTGTTATGTCATCTTACACTATTCATTTTCTCCCCTACTCTATAAGTCATCTCAGCAATTGTTGTTCATATGAAAGTAATTATATAAATGCATTTGATTAAATTAGCTTTCATCTAGCACAGGTTTTGTTATATAGGCATTTCCCTTCCAAAAATAACTCAGAGGAACTAATGGGTTAGGCTTGTGCCATATGACTGAGAATAGAGTCCTTCAGCACTGCTAAGCTGGTATGTTTCAGCACACCTAGAGCCCAAATGTCATGTCAGAGGGAGTCCATCAGGAACCATTCACACAGAGACCTAGGAAAATTTTGTCCATAGAGGTGACCAACTTACTGAAATTTTAATAGAATTTTGGAAGCTGACGTTGCTCATTGAAGTTCTGTTTCTTATTACCCTTGGAGGTTTCATCTTAAAAGTCAATCAGAGAATGAAAAAGACCAGACTTCGTGGCACGGTGACCTTGGGCTCTCTCTTCTGTTGCCACGTCTTGGGTGCTTTAACACTGAGTAGATTGGATCCAAGAATAAGAGGATAAACTCAGAGTGATTAGGGATTTGTCCCGTGACTTCACTCTTGGATCCTCTTGAATGCTTTAAAAAGCCTCATGAATTATGGACATAACTGTGTGTGCCAGCACACATTTTTGAAATGTTAATTTTTTTGATGTCTCACAGTTGATAAAACAAAACTTGATAAAAACATAACCTGCAACCTCAAGGAAGGTAACAACGTAAATGAGGATCTTTTTGACCCTCCCCAACTCCTGCCCTTCAAGTGTTGAGCAGAACTTTACCTGATGGCAGCCACTATGGTGTGATGGGTGGTTCCCAGTCCTCTCAGCCTTCTTCTGACTACTCTCAGTATCCAGAATGTGAGAGTTTAAATTCAAGCATGACGAAATATGAAGTGTGAGGAGGAGATACAATGAGCATGTCAAATATAGGATATGTTATCACTAGTCCCTCACTCATGCACATAGTTAAACAAGAGACACAGGAGGCAGGAGAGTGAGGAAGGCAGAAAGGAGGCACACATCCCATGGAGCCACTTGCATAGCTTGGTGCTGTGGTGCAAACAGAAAGGTAGGAAATCCATTACAAGTAGTGGCAGCCCATCCAGGGCCTCTCTTTGTGTCCTACCTGGTCCTATTCTATGTCTAAACTCCTCACCCATAAAGTGGAGAGAATGGCACTGTGCCATCTCCCAGCTGCAGTGTGAGGATATATAAACCTTGATGCATGAGAGCGTATGCATCTCAAACCTGTCATGTGCTTTGGGTTCCATTTAACTATATTCATTCATGTACACTCAGCCAGAGTGACTCATGGATCCTTTCTTTTCTTTTTTCTTCAGTTGGAGTCAATGGAAATACCCTGTTTTATGTCAGCTGTATCTCATAACACTTCAATTAACAGACGTAACTTTTGGAATCCCTTAAATACAAGCAGGCTTTGTAAAAATGCTTTTTTTTTTTTTTTTTTTTCTTCCCCACTGAACAGGTTTTTGACTCCAGAGGTAGAGGTGTCCTCCAGTTTTTGAGAGGAATCTTCATAATTCTGTAAGTTATTTTATAAAAATCAAAAGCAGCTATCAACAGTATAATTAAGCCGTTTTGAATTAGGGGAGATAGAGATTGATAATGAATTATATGCCTGGAGCCCTCAATTAACATTATAATCCATAGGTCCTCCTCCAGAGCAGGTCACTCAACCCCAAGAAAAATACAGCATTAACATCCCAAAAACTCTAAAGAAATTCTGCTAACGGTATAGAAGTTTAATAGCAGGGAGCAAACATCATAAGAGGTTTGATTTGGACAATCATGCACAAGTTTGTCTGCTCATCTGAAATATATCCAAGTGACTGGAGCCTTGTAAGAAAAAACCTTGTAAGAATAGGCTTTGTAAGATGGCTTGTCCCAGCTTTTTGGTTTAGTTGGTCAAAAGGAGAAAAACGGGAAGTATTTACAAATTGGGAAAGGTCAAAATGAGGAGACAGGGTAGAAATTTTTGTGGCTGCCTCAGATTTGCCTCAGATTTATTTTTTGAATATACCTTCTTCAGAAGAGGCAGTGTGCTGTAATAGCTTGTTAAGGCAGGGATTTTCACTTACTTTGCACTCTTTAGCACATACAAACTCCATCTATTAAAATACATTTTTTTAAGGCTGCAAAGCCACATATTAGGAATTCATATTAGAAAATGCCCTAATTAAAATCATGTATGCAGCTTCAGCTCATTCTATTCGAAGGCCACATTTTGTGGGAGCCCCACACAGCCCAGTCCCACGCAGCCAGTTGCACTCACCCTGCCACAGTGTCTGCAGAGGAGAGGACAGATGGTTCCCACTTCGGAAGAAGCTGTGCCACACGGTGCTGGCTTGGTGTGGTGCAGGGTGCAGTACTGTGTCTTACTGCATTGTTTCTCTCTTCATGAGCCTTGCTAAGGTCTTATAAGCAGAGGGAGTTGTTTCACAGGCATCTAGAATACCCTCTCACAATAACCCTTATAAGTGAAAGGCAGTTTCACTTTTTACACTCGGGGAATGAGGCAAAAAGAGGTTAGACTGAAGGCGTGTTTCCCCTACCATTGCAGCTTTAAGCGATTAGCACTTGTGCCAGTCAAAAAGAAGGGTTTTCAGGCAGGAATCAGAAAATGAAGAGCAAACAGTAAGTAACCATGTCAGAGCAAGGTTTTTTGGGCAGGAGGCAGGGTGCCTACTTCACTTCTTCCCTTTGAATAATTCACTTTCAGAACAAGAACATTCTTCAGCAAATTTGCATTGTTTTTGCCGTGCTGTTGATTTTGAATGCAAAAATCACTTCGTTGCTATTTTTGTTATCTTAAAGGGCTATTTTTTTTTTTAGATTTCAAGCTGAAATATTGTTTTAAATCTATTAAAAAAATACAGTCAATATTAAACTTAAACAAAAAAGTTGCATTAGTCATTCTGTTGGGAACCATATGTGAAAAGCCTGTTTTGAGGGACTAGTTCATCACCTCACCATGGCCTGAAACCTGGGAGGGCTGGTATTTCTCCACAGCAACCCTCAGCTGCCTTCAGCTTTTTCTCCCAGTCCTCTACCTCACTGGGGAGGACTTCTTTTCCAGCTTTCTCAGTCAATGGGGGCACACAGGTGGTATCTATTTCAGGAGATAGGCATGCTGTTTGCTCAGTCAGGATCCTGCTCATCTGGATCAGGGTGGATGAATTCCCCTAAAACTTGCTGTTGTCTTCTGCTGGCCTTTCTCTGAAGCTTGGTTTCCTTGAAACCAATTGCAGACAAGGAGCAGGGCAGGTGCAGAGCAGCATCTCACCCAGATTCCTCAGTGGCTGAGACATGCTCCAAAAGCACACTCGGATACCTTCATTCAGTTGCAGCTTTTGTGGCCCCTAAATTAACTAGAGAAAATTACCTGATCCTTCAGGACAAAAAAAATGTGTGATTTTAGCATGAATCTAAGAATCAGAGCCTGTTCCCTGTTCCTCTGCCAATGTCATAGCGTTTGCCTAAGCTGAGACTCCCCCTATACAAAATGGGGCTTTTAAGCTCTGAAATCAGTTTAGGAGCACTGGGTAAAGCTTTGCTACTTTCTACAGCGAAGGGCAATTGTGTTTTCAAGACTCTGTTCCAGTACCAGTATTTCATGGACTGAATGATGAGACTAGGAAATAAACATGGGAGAGAAAAGGCAAGTTGCCAGGATGAGGCATTTTCATAAGAAGCTAAAGGCTAGGTTTATATGTCTCCAAGCACACTGTCCTTTTTTCCCAAACCAGCAGACTTCCAGCAGAAAGATGGTTACTGTCCCTTTGGCAAGCCTCCCTTCTCCTCTCCTCTCCACTCCCCCCGCAGAGGCCCCAGCTCTGTTACAATAGGTGAAATATGTTGGCACTTACAGCAGGACATTAATATTTGAAAACCAAAAAAAAAAAAAAAAAAGCAGACTTTGTTCCTGGGAATCAGTACTTCTGGCAACATGCACGCTCACTGAAGGCAGCTGCAAAACAAACCCTGTTCCTGGTAGCTGTTGCTACTATGAGAATGTAAAAGCTCCTCATCCACCACAGACAACGGCTGGTACTGAAAGACTTGTGCTAAAAACCAGCATGTGCTCACTGTACCAGCATTAGCAAAACTGCCTGTGCAGGCTATTCCTAAATATAGTGTAGTCTTTTTCAGGATGAGCTCTGATTCACTACGTGAATGTAAAACATCATGGTTAATAATGAAAACAAATCAAATCAATATACCACTCTTTTATATGAAAGATGCTACATGTGTTCCTGTTTCATACAGAGGAGTTTTCTGAGTCAGGATGCTCTGCTGCTGGGTGAAGGTGCGGTGAGCCTCAGAGGCACTGAGCTATGTCACAGAAGAGCTGGAGGCACAGGGCACACCCACCCTGGGGTCACCGTGTTGAGCTGACTGGCAGCTCTCCTGCATTAACTTGCCCCAGGGAGTTTAAACAAAATAGGAGCCAGGACAGGAAAAAAATGCAGAGACTGAAACCATTGCGATCCTGAAAGCCACCAGAGCACAACATAATATTGGGCAATTTCCAAGTACTGTAACTTAAAGAGAAGAATCAGCAATATAAAATACATTTCCATACGCAGGGAATTGAATATATTGAATATTGTCTTTTCCTGATGCACATAAAGAAGATACAATGCATGGCAATACAGCACCGTATTATGCAAGATAATTTATACACAGGACTCAAGATAAAACTGTGCTTTCTCTTTCCTGTATGATTTTGCACTGGGTCATTTCACTGCAAGCAACTGCACAGATTTGCAAGTAGAGCAGGCAGGGTGAGGGAAGCAGAAAAGTGAGCACACATTAATAATGCTGGTGATGCCTCCATTAATGTCCATCACTGCCAGTCTCCAGCTTGGCACAGCCATGCGTCTGATGGGATGAGTGATAGCCCAGTGCATGCAGCATGCACCCAGAAACCATTCTCTGAAAAGCAGTGAGGCACACTCACTACATCTGAAGGAAATTAGTGGCAAATTGATGGCAGACGGGCAGTACTGAAGCAGCAACCAGAACAGCTGTTGCTGGTGTTCTCCTGTTTGAATCCTCTGTCATCCTGCCTAAGCTACGCAGAGACTGCCAACATATCCTGCACATGCAGAAAAATTGACCGCCTTTTTTTTCTTTTTTTTTTTTTGCTGGCTTATTTGTTGTGGGTTCTTTGTCTTGAGCCATTGCCTTGTTGTTTTGAGGCTTGCTTTGATTAAGCTGAGTATTGGCTTTAATATCAGCCTTCCCACTCATATCCTCTCTTTGGCATTCTCATTTTAGGGGATGGTAAAAGCTATAGATAATCCTTTGCCAATAGAGTTTAATTTTGCTTCCTCCTTTGTTCCACGCCTCTGAAGCAGTACTGAAGTGGGAAGGGGAGAGAAGTCTCAGCAGAGGCCTGCCAAACCTTTCTGCCCCTCATCCCATGGCAATACACTACCTGGGACAGGATACAGGTGTCTAATCCTAGCAGCTGAGCCACACTTAATTATCCAGGGAAAAAGAAAAAAAAAATGTGTTACGCACAGATTAAGAGGTTTAATGAGTTACAGAGGGACAATGCATTATCAGGAGAGGAGAGGCAAGGGGCAGGTCCAGCCATTCACCCACATGTTCCTTCGTGCTTTCTCTGCCCAGGGAATTGTGTGGTTGTGGAGAAATTGCTTTCAGGAGTTCAATGTGTTCACTGGGCTGAAAAGAATCACCCTCCTCACCACTTTCCTCAAAAGAGCAGGACAAGTGTTTTTTTCTCACGCTCAATCTTGGTAAGTCCAAAATTACTCCGCAGAATGCAATTGAGCTCTGCGGATATAGGGAAATAGGTTATAGTGGTTCAACACTGGCAATCACATCATCATTGGTATTGATTCAGGAGTGAGGCTGACTACAGAGATCTAATCGCTAAAGTGCAATGGATATGATGATGTAAAATAGACATGAAAATATCAGCGATGTAATGGTTTTGGTGGCAGAACACAGGCTCACACATCCCACTGAAACCTTACCTGACATACAGAAGGCTTTATAACAGAGATTAGGGGAAGTTTAATAGAGAGCTGAAAGTGAATTTTGGTTCCCTGTAATGCAGTGTTCTGATTTTGGAGGTTAGCCTAATTGTCTGAGATTTATATCTTTATGCTGCAACCTGATTTCATACTGTGTCTCTTGGAGTGATGCTAATAACATAAAAATTATTCTATTACACTTTGTTTACTGTTTGGTTTATCTTATTACTAGAGAGCCCACATCTGGGACAGAGTTCCGCTGCCTTAGGCTGTACTGCAGTGAGTGATGAATGAGCATCCTTGCTTTCAGAATATTTACATCCAAAAATGATGCTGTATTTTCAATTTATATTTCATAGCAGTGCATTGATATATTACTTTCCATCCCAAAGGCTCTGTGAGCATTTCTCATTACATGCTGTAGTCACAGTGCAAAGTAGAAGAGTGCAAGTGCTAAATATTTACAGTGCAATCGAACATCAAAGAGATTTTAGCTCAAGACAGGTAAGTGTTTTACTTAGGGTGAGTGTCCATATAATCTAAACAAGAGCAGAGTGCTTAATGTCCTGCTTAAAAGATTCATAGGTAAAAAGCAGTTTCTGAATTCATCCTACAAATATGTAAATAATCCTTTTTGTGTTTGAACATTAGTTTTTGCACTCATGCGTCCATTTGCCCAGCATAGCCAAGGAGCATCCCATTCATATCCATTTCACAGAATCACAGAATCGTAGGGGTTGGAAGGGACCTCCAGAGATCATCGAGTCCAACCCCCCATTTCCCTTGCCTATGCCTACATTATCCTCTGCTACTTCTCTGCTAGTACTGCTGAAGTTAAACAACTCTCAGCACTGCATGTCCAAATCCCTGCTCAGTAGTTTATATAACTGTGCTTGCAAAAATTGGCTTAAAATGCTTTGTAAGCTGAACCTTTCAAGATCTATTACGTAGTTCTCTGGTAATGTGCTGTATTACAGCAAAACAGCTCTTCTTGCAGTAGAAAGCTGTCAAGCTTTTGTTATTCTTATTCCCTTTGTCTTGAAAACTGGGATGGAAAAAAATAAACAAACAGTTGTAGGTTCCACATACAACTGGTATGAAAAAACAGCACTGCTGACATTAATGGTATAATTTTCTCAGTTGAGAAGAAAGCATAGATGCTGAGCTGAAATGCATTTCAGCTGAATGGATTGTTTCATCAGTAATAATGCTGCCCATTGAATCTGCAATATTGGTTACAAAGGTCTTTAGCAGAAGATGAGTTTGGCTTTAACGGTACATTTCTCCCATTGTGGAGCAGGAAAAGAAATGTGGCTTAGTTGTCTCCTTGGGATATTTCTCACATTTCCTATGGAGCCAATGGAAAGCATTCCACTTAGGCCATAGGCACCTGAAGCATATGATGAATGTGAAGATACGTGGCAATGTGCTTAAGATTTGCACAACCCTGTTCCTTTCCATCTTCCCCCACCATGTTCTCTGCTGATCACAGCATTTTCCCCAGCAGGAGTTATAATAATGTTGACCTCATCCAGGTATGTGTAAAATGTTAATAAAAGGTCCCTGAATTAAAAATTGCAAAGGGCATGTATGGTAAGCAGCTGTCACTGACCTGACATTTACTATGTTTGCATATGGATTAAAAGTCAGGGAAATTTCTAAGGGGTTAGCAGAGGAAAAACATTTGAAACCTTCGCTTTCTTTCTCCTTTTCCTGCCACCTTAAGCAGATGTGTGTGGGCTGGGTTCCTCTGAGCTTCCCATAAAGAATCAGAAAATTTGATATCAACACAGGAACTCCATGGGGACGAGCATATGTTACATTCCAGACGAGCAACTGATCCTGACCATGAAAACCTCATGGAGATCAGAAAGTTTCTCTGTTTGGTTGACTCACAGCTCTAGAATGGAAATAAGGAATCTGAATTACAACAATTTTACAGCCTATGAGTAACACTGCATTCTCAAATATCCATAGAGTCTTGCTCTGTGTTCATTTGTCTTAACTTCTCTGGATGTGTAATCAAGGTTCACCACAAGGGAAAAATTAAAGTATCAGAATGTCAGATGTCTCATGCTGCTTTGTAAAGTAATGATTAAATTTATTGCCCCTTAATTTTTCAATTTCCTTATTAAATTCCTTATTCCTATCAAAACTATGCAGTGCTCCACATGATGAGGCAAAAGAGAGCTGGTTTTCAAAGAGTTTGAAGAGAGAAAGTTGAAGGTAGAAAAAATAATGTGAAAAGACCAGGAAGTCCAGTAGATGTACTTAGTCTAAACGTAGTTTTCTTGCTTTTCTGCCTTCCATTGATGCATTGGGCATATTCTGTTGTGGATAAATTGTGCTTTTGAGTAACTTAGTGTTGCTGTGATGGCTTTCTGCAAAAGTAAAACATTAGGAGGAGATGGAAGTTAAGCATTCTGTGTGCAGAGCTACCAAAGAAGTAGACATATTTCCCTGTTATACTGCATAAAGATGAAGATCATGAAGGAGGTCCAATGACATGGCTGTAAGGAAGAACAGGAGGGTTTAATAAAAATTGACAGTGCAAGACAGATAACCCCACTTCTTTTCATCCTCAGCATTTCATTTTCTTGCCTAGTTCTGAGGTACCTTTCTTCCTTTTCTTATTGCTGCACAAACATTAAGATGCAACTTGTGGTTCCTGTCTATTTGCCGTATGGATCAGCTCTTTGTTCATGCCTGAGCAAGCACATGGCCCCAGGAGTGCATTTTCATCAATTTTGGGATTTTGGAAACATGGTGGTCAAGGATGCTCCATCCCTGGAATTATTCAAAGCCAGGTTGGATGGGGCTTTGAGTAATTACTAGTGGAAGGCATCCCTTCCTGTGAACAAAGTGTTGCAACTAGATGATCTTCTAACCCACACCATTATATGATTCTGTGGTCAGATGTCATGTGGGCTCCAGCTGGCCTCAGCTCTGCCTTCCAACATGAGACCAAGTATATTCCGGGTGAGAAATGTCTTACCTCTTCCACAACAAATCTTAAAATCTGCCTTTTCTCTTCCTCTGGGTATCAGCTCCAAAACTGTACTTTCTAATAACAGAACAGCCTCTTTTCTTGACATCCTCAAGACTCAGGCATTCATCTGGGCTGATGGAACTCCAGGTTCATAGCCTCTCTGTTTCATATAGGTTGTACTGATTACAGCCAAAACTTGTTGGTTGGGTCTAAATTTAACTAGGTAATACCCTGGCTAAGAATTCCTGTAATGCTTTTATGATAAAAATGTCAGAAACTGAATTTCTGCAACAATAAGCAGTGGAGCCAGTGAGCTGGCCAAATATATGAAACATTTCACCAAAACAAATTGCTACAATTAAAAAGAATCACATGATTTGAAGGAGTTGCATATTATAAGATTCTAAATACCATTATTGCAGGTACTTAATACTTAAATGACACCCTTTAGGAATTTATGGCTTGATTGTATTTTGCCTAGCAAAAATAGATGGCTGTAACAGGGGGCTTCAAGGTAGAGTTTTATTCAGGGAGATGGCAGAGGCAAAATTCCCCATCAATATGTCATTAGAATTGAAAAAAGCCAAGAATGTGAATTCAGTTATAAAAATGCTGTGTGCACAATGGACCTGGATTTTGTGTGTTTCTTGTAGTCAGGACACCTGTAAAAGATTTTAAATCCAATGAATTATAGGAGAAGATTAAAAACCGAGTTGTTACTGGTCTGTTTCCAGAGGAAAGGAATTGAGAACTGTAGATGGGATAATAGGATGCTTTCTCACTCCTGAAAGCAAAGAGTGATCTATAAAATATAATATGCTGTTATGAGCCAGTTGATGCTCTGGCCTGTTCAAGTTGGTAGCACAGCCAATGAAATTACAGACTCTGACATTGTCAGCACTTAACTTACACTGAGACATCCAACTCACTGATTAGACCACTCCACACTACGTTTTGTTAATTATCTTTCATTTCTCTCCCTCTGCGTTGCAAGCAGACAGCTGAGGAATTAAAGGAATGAGGAGAGTGCACAGTTTTGTGACCTGTCATTGTTAGTTGCATAACCCTTACTGAAATGTTATTTCCTTCCTTTATATATGAAAACCATTCACTAAAAAGAATTACAAACTGAAGCATTAAAGGGTTAGAGCTGATCCATTCAGACTCCAGCTTTCATTTTTTAAGGTCTTTTATAAAACCTGAAGTAGCTGATAATAATCTTATGGGCCATCTCAGTGCCACAATGGTAAAAGCTCTAGTAACTGGGTTTTATGGCTTGCTGACACCAGCAGGATAATTCCCTGAAGTCCCCATGCGCCGCATTTCCAGGTACGAAGCACCTGTGCACCTAATATTAGCACCTTGTGACTGGAGCTGCAGACAGAGAAAGGCAATGGGGTTTGAATAGAGGACCTGTCATTTGTGAAGGAAAACTGGGAGGATGACGAGGAGAAGAAATTGCTCCATGGAGAGAACACACCAAGCACGTGCATGGTGCCCCTAGTCTCTCAGTCTCTGGAGGTCAGAATTTTACTAATCCTACCTCCCCCTTGAGAGGACCTTATATGCCCAGACATGCTCCCATACAACAGCTGACACTCCTGATGGGGCAAGGGTCTAAAAGCTGGGGTCTTGAGTTGTATTCCTGTGTGAGAGTCCCTGCTGGGCAAGTGCTTTGTATCCATAAACTGTATCTACAAGAAACCCTTGGAAAAAGAAGTCCCTATCACGTGCACTGTGTACCACAGGAAGCCAGCAGAGCTCCAAGAAG